ATTGGGAGTTTACAATGTGCCAGACTCTAAGTGCTTTATACGTATTACCTCATTTAATTCTCACAACAGCCCTATGAAGTAGGCACTATTATTTGGCCTGTTTTACACACAGAGGAAATGAATTGCAAAGAGGTTAACTTGTTAGCCAAAGCAACGCAGCTAGTAACTGGCAGGGCCAGGACTCACATCATGGGACTCAGGCTCCAGAGTATATGCTCTTACCTCCTTTGTCACAAGGAAAGTTCTGTTTTTTTTTTGGGCTTGTCTTTTTGCCTTGGCTACCTGGAGCCTCCGCTAAATTTTGTGATAACGTGCAGTATCTTTCCTTAGCCCAGATTTCGGGCATAATTCTTTTTGACCTTTAAGGAGCTCCAATCTCCAGATGCAAACAGTCCATCAGGTTTTCTTCCCACGACACTCCTCTTTGTATTATAATTTGTATTCCAGCTGCTCTGGGCTCCTTGCCACCTGCAGACTCCCACCCCTTCGTGCCTTTGCTCGTGCCAGCCCTCCTACCTGATACGACGTTCTCTTTTCTTAATGACATGGAAACTTTATAATTTAGTGAGTGGAAACAGTAAGTTACAAATCTACATGTATAGAAATACAATAAGCTTCCATCTTTAGTAACTAATGTTCAAATGTATATATATATATATATATAAACTTTAGAGAGTTATGCACTAGAATGACATTATATTTGAATGGTGGAATAGCAAATTATGTATTTTTTTCTTGATGATGTTTATTTCCTATATGTTCACGGAAAATATATATTATAGGAAATTGTTATTTTTAAGAAAAATGTAAGTTACATTTTTGTTTCTAATTAAAACTTTCAAAAAATTATTTACTTGTAATCCTAGCATTCTGGGAGGCCGAGGCGGGAGGATTGTTTGAGCTCAGGAGTTTGAGAGCAGCCTGAGCAAGAGCGAGAGACCCTGTCTCTACTTAAAAATAGAAAAAATTAGCCGGGCGTGGTGGCTCATGCCTGTAGTCCCAGCTACTTAGGAGGCTGAGGCAGGAGGATCGCCTGAGCCCAGGAGTTTAAGCTTACTATGAGCTAGGCTGATGCCACGGCACTATAGCCCAGGCAACAGAATGAGACTGTCTCAAAAAAAAAATTATTTACTTATCACCGTTTTAACCATTTTTAATTGTACAGTTCTATAGCATTAAGTATATTCTCATTGTCGTGCAACCATCTAGTCTCATTCCTGGCTTAGCTGCGATCACCATCTTTCCACAACTAGAGCAGTTTTCACCTTCTGTTTAAGCTTTCTCTGTTGTTCCCACACCCCCAGCAGGAACAATGGCTTGTCCCTGTCCACTCTGCCACTACGGGGGGTGTGTCACTGTGCGTCACTCATGTCATTCTGCAGTAGTGGTCAAGTGAACAGTCCCTAGAGCTTTCATTTCCTGTACTTGACACCTGCTAGCTATGTCCTAGCAATTCTGGGGCAAGTCACTTAATCCATCTGTGCCTCAACTATCTTCAACTTTAAAAATATACATTATTTAGTCCATTTCACACAGGAGGAAATCAAAGCTTACAAAGGTTAAGGAGTTTGCCCAAGCCCCCAAAGCTGGTAGGTAGTCATCCAGGTTTAAAGTGAGTAGTATGGCCCTAGAATGCACGTGCCTAAACTCTGCCTCTCTAAATAATAGCAACACTTCTATTTATTGATCACCTATTATGTGGCGGACTCTAAGCTAGGCACTTGATGTGACAACCTACTCACTTTTCACAACTAACCCCATAGAAAAAGTTATTCTTATCGCATTTTACAGATGCAGAAACTGAGGCCCAGAGAGGTAAAGTCATTTGCCTAAGTCCCCCAGCAGAACCAGAATTTGGTGACTATAAAGAATGCCTTCTTTTTCACTACACTATGAAAAAATGTTGGATTTCTAAAGTGCATACCTAAGGACTAAGATGATGAGTGCGAATTGTACTCACGACAGAAAAGAACAAGGCTTTCAGAGTTCCAAGAAGGGGGTTCGGCACGGGCTCGAGAGTCTGGACTAGCCTTCACAGGAGGAATGAGGCCGCTCCGAGCCCTGAAGGCTGGCGGTGGAGGGCCTGTCCCGCCTTGGGCTAGTGGCGAAGGTGGGGCCCCTGGAAGCTGTTGGCTCTCAGTTGAGACTAGTGAGGCTGAAATGGGGCCTGGGCCAGGTCTTACTGCCCAGGAGAGGCCAAGGCCCGGCTCGAGACGGCCAGCGTTAAAGATGAACTGTGTCCGGGAGATGCCCAGCGAGAGCGAGGGGGGGGGGCGCACTAGCGTTCGGGTGCAGAGGCACAGCCAGCTGGGCGTGGGAACGAGGCGGGGTGGGAAGACCCCGCACAGGACTCCTGTGGGGCCTCCTGCCCACAGTGGCAGCTTCCAAAGCCCCTCCCCTGCGGGCGCCCTTCTACCAGCCTCGATGACAACTCGGGTCTCCAACCTCCAACGGGGCGAGGCAGCAGGAAGCGTTCCAGAGAGCCAGAGGGTAGGAGGTG